GTTTTAATAAGTTTGGTGACACACTCTTCAATTGTTTTGTGGGTTGGATTACTTTGGCTTCATGATTTGTTTAATGTTGTTATTTATTTGGTTCTTGGTTTTGAGTTGGTTTATTTTGCTTTTGTTTGCAGAGCAGATTTAGTGTTTGGAGTCTCAGGTGGTGTATGTAACATATGGGGTGTGATAGTTTGGTTGGTAAAGGAGTGTGATTTGTGATATGGTCTTCTTTTCGATATTTCTGTTTCCATAGTATTTTTGGTTTTATTTTTCTTTCAATTTTGAGTGTAACTAAGGGATGGATAACCAAGATGATCACATGCATTGTTTATTATAATATTATCTTCCATGTGAGGCAAATGAATTTTACAAGATCCCAGTTCCACGATTTCTTGGGAATCTTGCGTCAGTTCCAGAGAGATTGAGTTTAGGGGAAACCAAGGGAACATTGTAAGGATAAAGGAAACCACTCAAAGAAATCAGGTACAGAAAAATAAACAATAAGCCCTTGTTTGCTTTGCAGGATTAGGCAGGTAAATGAATTGATGAATTTTCCATAGGCTCTCCATTTCTTATTGTCCTTGAAATAGGAAAACATTGTTTCTTAAGAGAATACACATTTGTAACAATGCTCACTCAGGGGATACAACTGCACAATTTTCATCTACTTGGCCACGTACAAGATGGCCAAAACCACCCAAATCAGCAAATCATTTCTGCACAATTCTCGTTCCAACACCACCTAAAACACCCCGACAAAAGATATTGCATGTCAAAAACAAGCTATGTATAGCAAATTCACAGAGCAAGCAATGTCCAAAGTTTTATAGTGAAATGCAAATGTTACCTTTTACTTCCACAACTTGAACTTCGTTCACTATTTCTGCAGCAACATTATACCCAAACCTGCACGTATCGGTGCCAATAGCTATAGGACAGGTAACAAGTAAGTCGTTGCAGATATTTTTGCTTTCTAAAAGAAATTAATCAGAAGAAGCAAGAAGTCTCTGAACATCATAAATAAGCAATATTATAGTAGTTCAACCGAGTATACCGAGCTTTGAAGCTTCATATTCAACAATCGGTTGGTCAACCGAGTACAACGAGTTTCAAAGTTTCATATTCAACAATAGTTGAACATTCTGAACGTCACCAAAATGTTTCCACAAGCACTTAAAAATCACTTGCAAGCCTTATGTGACATGTTGATTATTGAGCAATTTCATAGTTGGAGGAGTATACGGTTTCATCCGTTCTTCAAGTGTCTCTATAACAACAAATTTCGTGTATTGAATTTATGAATACGAAAAACATTTTACAAATGAATTTCTTGAACCAAATAAATATTGTAGATTACAATCTCTATTTTCTCCTCTAATTCTTCTCACGAACGATTTTGAGTCATAGAGCAAAATCTTGGCTTGAACTCCCTGACTTGATTTGACTTGAATTAACGTTAATCCTAACAATGTTAAGAACACGAATCCTTCGTCTTTGTCGCAATATAGATTTTGAATCTTCTCTGCACCGATTTTGAGTTTACTAACGCAATTCAGAGGCTTGACAGATTGTTTTTGGATTAAATGTCAGTCTTGAGGTTGAATCTTGTTTCGAATCTTCAAGAACGTCTTTGAATCTTCAAGAACACTTGAATCTCGTCGAGAGAATCTCTAGAACTTGAATATAAATTGTGATTTGTCTTTGACTTTAGGGAGAGTCCCTATTTATAGGTATAAGAAAAATAATTCTACCAAATTTAAGAATTATAAGACGCGATTTGATCAGTCCATGATTCACATAAGATCTTTTGGATCTACTTACATCTTTCAAGATCTTATAGAAGACATGTGATTTATTACCAAGAATTAAGGTTTGACACTTGACATTATTTGATTGGCCGAGAATTAAAATATCAATAAATCAACTATTTCAATTTAGGAATCAAATTTATGGAAATTTCAAAAATATAATAGAAAATATGACTTGATTTTTATATATTAATTTCTAGGTGGTGCCATTTGATTGACCACAAATTTTATGTATCTACACAATGCCTTGGAGTGAATGAGTCGTGACATAATCTGAATGGGCTTTTGAATAATATGTAAATTATAAACCTAGACATGAAAAGATCTTGGTGAGTGGACAAACCATTTAATTACCACAATTTGTTGGTGGGCCTTCCAATAAAACCTCGATGCATCGTAGATAGAGTAAGTATGCCAAGGGAAGCTCGGGCCATTCTATGTCTCAGTAGCTACCAGAGAAAAGACCACTTAATCCATACAATAGCAATACAAAAAAAATACTTGGCCCATGTCATTCCCCCGAAATTGGACTAAAAGTCCTTCAACAATATGGAATTTTTTTTTTTCTTTTTGCTATAAACCCGCGACCAGCAAAAGAAGTTTGTTGCCAAAATAATTGACAACAGCTGTAAATTAAATTGACAAACTAAATAAACTCTTCAATCACCCACCTGAAGTCAATAGGCAATGGATTTCTTACCAGCCTCAACCTTTCCAAAGTTAAGAAATTATTTACCAAACACCAAGATTTAAAGACCTTTAATCATAATCTTAACTTACAAAAAGAATTTTACTTTTTTTTTTCTTTTATTGTGGCAAACTTTCAAGTCTCTTTAACAGAAATATGAAACAACATCAACTCTTTACTCTGTTTAATTTTCTCATCAAACTCTATGGTCCTATTTGGAGATTCATCGTAATAATAGCAGCAACAACGAATATGTTTCCTTTCAATCATTTTCCTAATTACACAATGCATCCTCTCCTTTAGAGGATACAAGTATCCTTTTCTGTATCTATAAATAGGTCTCCTTAGGCTGTTACTTTTTTCACGTCTTAAGGCCGAAAAACATGTATATGTGGCTTCCCTCTTTGTTTTAATCTCATTCTATCTGATATGGGATATTATACCTGAAACGTATATTTGTCACGGAGTGCGCTAATAATAGTACGAACTAAAACAATAATTGTAAAATGTGGAAGCAATCAATCGAAAAATTGATAAACTCTTCAGGGAAGCATCCCACTTCCCCTCAGAGCTCTTTCATTGATAGATCACTCATGAACATAGTTTGGTCTTACAAAGACTTGAACTCCCTTCAAATCTAGCCAACACCACTCTCGATCCTATCAACTAATTCTCCGGCCACGTCCCGTGGACTTATAAAACAACACTTACTCCCTAAGTGTATAATCCGTAAAATAGTTTTGATGAATGAATAAAAACTAAACGAAAAGCAGCTTCAGTCCTTGAGTATATAAGAACTCTCAGACTGAACTGGATACAACTCGGAATAGAACACAAAAACGAAGCTTGAATTGCTCTAAAAAATATCTCTCTAAAAACATGCGCGCACAGGAAGCTTCTTCCAGGGTATATATATGAACTCCTTTTAGGGTTGGAGTCTTCTACAAGGTATAGGACTTCCAACAAGATTTCCTTCCAAAAGGGTAGTGTATCTTTGGCAAGAAAATCTTCTACTCTCTCTCTTTGATCTCCTCACCATACACGGCTCTTCTCTTCCTTTTCTTTATCTCTTCACGTCCAATTCTCTATATTATCCAAAACCATAATAAGATCTACACAGACTTATACATGGAATATAAAATAAGATTAATTAAGGAAATAGAATATGTGAAGATCTCCCCTTTATTCTGTGGTTCCAGGTGCTTGTTCGAACTAACGAACTAATGCCAAAATAAAATATCTTTCAATCTCCCCCTTTGGCATCTAGTTCGAAAACATCAGACTTGAAAGTCTCCTAAAGAAATGAAGACAACAAGCACCAACTGATAAAATCAAGCAAAGGGTTAGTTCGATTAATCACAAGACCGTCTTAAGACAGTTCTCCCCCTTAGTTCCTGCAGTCAACAAAACTCAACAGATTCAATTCAACCATAGATATTGAGGACAACAAAACAACTGCATTAATCCCATTATAATAAGAACTTAGTAGCAAACAACAAATAACCAACCACATAAAAAACCTCCCTACAACCCTCAAAACACACAAGGAAATCAAAAGCTAAAGGCTAACTACTCTTCATCTCCAAGCTTCTCAGTAGCCTCATCAGACTCCTCATTATCTTTGCCATGGCTTTTACCAGCAACCTTCTCCCCCTTTTTCGAACTACGGGATGCCGAAGGGCCTGTCCCCGAGGTAGTACGATTCAATCCCTTGATAGCATGCAGCACTTGACGAAGGTAGGCCTGCTGAGCGGCGACCTTCTTGGCCAAATCATCCCACTCTCCAAGTTGCTGAGCCACGAACTCACCCCAATTCCTAGGCACCAAGGAAGGAGCCAGTTCCCTCGTGACCTTGGAAATCCCTTTCTCATTTAGAGTACGAGCACTGACAGTGAGTGCCTTTCTGGGGTTCTCGAGAGAGTCTTGGAAGCGGAGATTAACAGAGAAATTATGAGCAGCCAAGAAGGACCAAATAAGACAGGAAAAAGGAAGGGTTTTCCGAGACTCAATGTTAGCGACAAAGGATTGAAGAATTTGGAAGAAAAGATCCCCAAAACTGAAAACCTTCCCAATCATGACCCAATAAATGACTTTGCTCTGCAACTCGGTAAGCAAAGTTTTATTAGAAGTAGGAGTCCAGTTGCCAGCACCAATTTTATGCAACAGATTAGCAACTAAGCAGAGAGAATTCACAGAGAGGTTAGAACCAGGCCAAGTATCCAACTGACCAGAAGTAAGAACTTTGGTCATTTCATCCAAATCAACATCAGAGAGGGAAGAGCTATCAAGATCAGAGGGCAAACCAAGATGGGCATTAAACAAAGCAGGAGATACATCAATCACACGGTTGCGAAGAAATAGTTTATGAAAACGAGGGCTATCAGGATAAAAAACAGCAGGGGTGAGATTTTCATAGAATTCTTTGACAGCTTGGCCACAGAAGGGCTGAACATCAGACACAGTTTTAGAGAGACCGACTTGCTCGATCAAACGAAGGACACCAAGATCAGCAAACTTACCGTCTGTCACAGGATGTTCGGACCAGAACTCATAAGATCCGAAACTCACAAAGCGTTCATGAGCCGCCTCTGTATAGAACCGATTGGTGAAAGTATTCTCAAGGTCATACGCATCATCTTCAGGTTCAGGAGGGACAAGGGGTTCATCAATGGACTTC